GGCGACACGAACAGGGGGCAGACTCAGGACCAGACCTGGACGCTGCAGCAAACACCTGACCCGACGCAGTGACTGGAGGAGACGTAGTGGTCAGGGTGTACAGGCTCGACCCCGGCCGACGGGTAAACGTGGCCAGGTGTCGGCCAGTCCGAGCGTCCGTGCAGTGGGTCACCCGCTGACTCGCAGGAGTGAACTGGTGAACCCCCGCATCCTGTAGGTCAGCACCACTCACCAAGTTCGTAGAGAACGAGGGGAGGTAAAGACCAGACAGGGTGCCAGAGGGGGCCGCCGGACACGGGAGGACAGTGGAGAAGTGAGCAAGGACAGGACCCCCAGAGGGGTCTGCCAGAGAGACCGCAACTGGCTGGCCAAGGCGTGAGTGTGGTCCGGTCTCGAAAGAAGGAGCGAGAAGCCCCCGAGTCAAGGGTGAAGGTGTGGGAGGCCGAAGCCGACGCAGAACCTGAGAGAGCAGACTCACCAGCACCTGAGGGAGCAGACGCACCTAGAGCAGCAGCCTCGCTAGCACCTAGAGCAGCAGCCTCACCAGTACCTAGAGCAGCAGTCTCAATGCCCGGGTCGGGCGGAAAACACCGGTAACACTCACCCTCATCACTAATAGTCACAGTATACATAGCAGCAAGAATAGCATCAAAGTCAAGGTCAAAGACAGCGACACCCGCCCTAGACAGCTCACCCCAGCGGGGGATCTCAGTGGCCTCAGGGAACTGGTGACGCCAAGCGTCCGTCAGGCGGCCAAAGCAGCGCTGGGTGGAGTGCGCCCCCCCGCACTGGTCACCCGCGCGGTCGCCGGTGCGGAGGACGTAGGTGCACGGACCAGTACCCCCACCCCGCTGGCGTGCAGCGTACCACTCACGGAGCTGCTGAGGGGGGGGGGGTGTCACGAGTGCGCTGCTGCTGCTGCTGCTGCTGGCGCTGACCACCACCGGAGCCAACCCTCTGCGCAGCACCACCCCGACCAGCTCCACCTCCTCCGCCGCCGCCTCCTCCACCGCCGCTACCTCCGCTCCCACCGCCACCGCCGCCGCCGCCTCCGCCTCCACCGCCGCCACCGACACCTCCACCCCCACCACCACCCCCACTGCCACCCCCACCCCCTCCACTGCCTCCACCGCCGCCTCCACCGCCCCCGCTAGCTCCTCCAGTGCCCCTGCCCCCTTTGCCCTTGCCAGGGCGGCGTCTCCCGCTAGGGGTAGACGCCGCACCGACCGACTCAAGCCCAACGAGGTCGGCCGCAGCAGCAGAGGCAAGAGAGGGCAAAAGGGGGGAGGGGGAACACCCCTCAAAGATGGGGGTGCGAGGGTCACCACGAGAGGCTCCTACAGCGACTATGCTCTTCTCTGCTGCTAGGAGGGACTTCTCGAGGAGGTCAACGGTGAGAGTGGTGGGGCAAACGGAGAGGAAGTGGTCCCTGACTACGCGAAGGGAGTCAGGGAGCCGGGTGACTATGTAGTAGAGGGTGATGTACATGGGGGGGGGGCTCTTGGCGCAGAATTCAGCAGGAAGCGCAGCGCGGTAGCGAGTGTCACTAGTGCGGAGGTGCGTAATGAGGTCAGCGACTGTGGGAAAGGCAGCAAGGTCAGGGAAGAGGTACGGTAGCATGAGGCGGCTCAGTGCAGCAGTGGCAGGGGAGGAGTAGCGCGCAACTACAGCGTCGTACAAGGTCTGAGCACTCTTGTACTGGCTAAAGTGCGCACGCTCAGAGGTAGGCAGGTGGCGACGCACAGCAAGACGTGCAGCAGCATCGCGCGTGGCCCACTGTGAGCGAACAGTGGCGTCAGCATCAGCAGCGGGGGCAGGGGAGGCACCAGAAGTGAGGTCAAAGAGGGAGAGGCCGTCTGCTCTGTCGCACTGTAAGAAAAGCTGCAGGTCATCTATCCAGACGTCAAAGTCAATGGCCCGACCCTCAGCATCAAAAGCGAGGACACTAGGGGTAGCCATGACAGCAGTAGACTAGCAGCGCAAACAGCAGGGTGAGGGCAGTGCTGTGAAAGAGGCGCTGCTCTTACCGGACAGGGCGGCTCGGGTGGCTCGGTTGTAGGGCGGCTCGGCGGCTCGGCTGCTGGGCGGCTCGGCGGCTCGGCTGCAGGGCGGCTCGGCGGCGTGGCTGCTGGGCGGCTCGGCGGCTCGGCTGCTGGGCGGCTCGGCGGCTCGGCTGCTGGGCGGCTCGGCGGCTCGGCTTCTGGGCGGCTCGGCGGCTGGGCGGCTCGGCTGCTTGGCGGCGCGGCGGGGCCGCTGAGAGGGCGGCGCCCGGGGCCGCTGGGAGGAGGCGGCGAGGCCGCTGAGAGGAGGCGGCGGGGCCGCAGGTAGGTGGCGGGGCCGCTAGTAGGTGGCGGGGCCGCCGGTAGGTGGCGGGGCCGCTGGTAGGTGGTGGGGCCGCAGGTAGGTGGTGGGGCCAGCACAGGTAGGTGGCGGGGCCGCGGGTAGGTGGCGGGGCCGCTGGTAGGTGGCGGGGCCGCAGGTAGGTGGCGGGGCCGCTAGGAGGTGGCGGGGCCGCAGGTAGGTGGCGGGGCCGCAGGTAGGTGGCGGGGCCGCTAGTAGGTGGCGGGGCCGCAGGTAGGTGGCGGGGCCGCTAGTAGGTGGCGGGGCCGCAGGTAGGTGGCGGGGCCGCACAGGTAGGTGGTGGGGCCGCACAGGTAGGTGGCGGGGCCGCGGAGGGCGGCGACGAGCCGTAAGGGGCCGTGAGGGGCCGCGCGAGGGGCCGTAAGGGACGGCGCGAGGGGCCGTAAGGGGCGGCACGAGGGGCCGCTAAGGGCGACGCGACGGGGCCGTGAGGGGCCTAGCGAGGGCGCGACGGTAGGGGGGGAGCACCCAGGGCGCGACTCGGGCCTGAGCGAAGCGCGCGCCGGGCAGGAAAAAAAAAAATTTCGTGGTGGTGGGCCCTAGGAATCGTTCCCACTAGGGAACCTGCTCGATACCATGAGAAGAAACGAGGAATGGAATGACTAAGGGAAAGTTGGGTACAAAATGCAAACCCTAGAAAACTGTACCCCATATGTGCTACCCCACTATAGCCTACAGTAGCTCTGTCATATAAATCTGACAGTGTTTTCACACCCTGACGTGGCGACACCACCATATGCTGACACGTCAGCACCCCTGGCAGCAACATTATTTGGCTGTCCCATCCCAAAATCGTTTCTCAGAAATGGTTCATTCGTACCAGGCTGGCAGTTACCAGAACTTGCACAAGGGGTGCAAACCCAAGGAGGAATGGTAAAGTCAACGGCAGGAATAACATCAGCTTCAGTAGTGGTAACAGCAGGACCATAGCTGGTAACACCAAGGCCATTGCTGGTAACACCAAGGCCATTGATGGTAACACCAAGGCCATTGCTGGTAACACCAGGGCCATCTCTGGTAATACCAAGGCCGTTGCTGGTAACACCAGAGTCAGCTGCATGCGCAGTAGAAAGAGAATGAAGCCCCCCTGGAAGGCCAGAAGGCTTAGCAGCTGGAATGGCTGTGTAGGCTGCTTCGCTGTAGGGTGGTGAAGGTGCATCCGAGGTGCATGCGGTAACCGCAAGTGCGAATGTGGTAACCGCAGGGGTGTGAGAAACTTCTGCAGCAATAAATTCAGCGCGTACGTCCGTGACAGCAGTGGTAACAGCAGTGAAGCCAGTGGCTACATCCATGAAAGCAGTTGTGACATCAGTGGTAGGAGTCACTACACCAGGAGCACACGCTGTCTGTTGGCATTCAAGCTTCTCAGTGCACAGAAGAGATGAGGGCACATGCCGCTGCCGCTGCCGCTGCTGCTGCCGCGGGGTGGAGATGTGAGGTGAGTCGACACCTTTTTAGGTGACTTGATGTGAGTAGACACCATGGGTGGACATGTGAGGTGAGTCGACACGTTTTTTGGTGATATGATGCGAGTAGACACCATGGGGTGGAGATGTGAGGTGAGTCGACACTTTTTTGGGTGACGTGATGCGAGTAGACACCAAGGGGTGGAGATGTGAGGTGAGTGGACACTTTGTTGCTCACATGGTGATGCTCCTACCTGCATGGCGATGCTCCTAGCTGCATGGCCATGCTCCTAGCTGCATGGCAATGCTCCTAGCTGCATGACGATGCTCCGAGCTGCATGGCGATGCTACTAGCTGCATGGGGATGCTCTGATGCAGCGGCAGCGGCAGCGGCAGCGGCACCTGCTGCTGCTGCTGCTGCTGCTGCTGCTGCTGCTGCTGCTGCTGCTGCTGCTGCTGCTGCTGCTGCTGTTGTTTCTCCTGTTGCTGTTGCTGTTGTTTCTGCTCGTGCTGTTGCGGCAGTTGCTGCTGCTGCTGTTGCTGTTGTTGCTGAAGCTGCTGCTGTTGGTGCTGCTGCTGCTGGTGGTAGTGCTGTTGCTGGTGGTGATGCTGTTGCAGTTGCTGCAATTTCTGCAGCTGGTGCAGATCTTGCTGCTGAACCTGCAGTAGTGGATGCTGGTGTTGCTCCTCCTGCTCCTGCAACCGACAATGACGCTTCTGGCTCTGTTGCAATGGCTGCTCCAGGCGCTTCTGCTGCAATGGCTGCTGTAGGTGCTGCTGCTGCATTGGTTGCTGCAGCCGCTGCTGCTCGCCTGGCCGGTGTGAGGAGAACCCAATGTCCTCCAATAATGCACCTTGCATGTGCTGCACGTGAGGACCCTACTGATGCACTGGCTGCTGTGGGTGCTGCTGCATCGGTTGCTGCAGGCTCTGCTGCTCTTCTGGTCGGTGTGAGGAGAACTCCAGGTCCGAAAGAAACGCACCTTGTATGTGCACGGCGGCGAATGTGCTTGTGGCGGCAGGCGCTTGAGGTGCCTCAAACCTCGGCTGTTGGATCTTCTGCTTGTGAGCACCCTGCTGCATGTGAGGACCCTGCTGCTCCAGAAATTCCATGGTGGGGACTGCGTTTGCATGAGCTCGAGGCTCACATCTAAGCTCTTGTGGCGCTGCCTGCTCTACTTTTACTCCATGCTGCTCCATAGAAATCACGCACGTGATTGCGTTGGCATTGCACTACGCCTGAAATCGAAGCTGCTGCACCTGCTGCGCCTGCTGCACCTGCTGCGCCTGAGCGCCACCCTGCTGTCCCAGAGAAACGACGTCAGCGACTGCGCTCGGGTTATGCCACACGCCATACTGAAGCTGTTGTGTCTGCTGCTCTTGCCCTCCGACCCGCTCATCCACTACACTAACGTGTTCAACCGGGTTGGTCGCGCCGGGAGTCTGAGACAGCTCAAGAGCCGGCTGTGCTGCCTCCTGCATCTGCCCCTGAGCAAGCTCGCTTGGGAATGCTATCCCGCGAGCAGCCGAAATTGTGGTTGGAATGACAAGTGCTGCTGGTGCCTTGTTGCCCGCAGCAGCACCAGCAGAAGCACCGGCGGCTGCTGCTGCTGCTGCTGCTGCTGCTGCTGCTGCTGCTGCTGCTGCTGCGGCTGCTGCTGATGTCACTGTTGCTGCTGCAGCCGCCCTTGGTGGTGGTGGTGCTGTTCTGACCGATGGAGATGTTGCAGCTGCAGCGACGGCAGGAGGTGCAGCGAAGGTGAGTGGGTGGAAGCTTTCAGATCGAATAATTGGCAAGGGAGTAACGTTGCTGGTGCAATCCGAGGGTACAACTAGTGGGGAGGCTGGATGTGATGTCAGGGATGTAGCGGGACGGCAGTTTGTAGGAGGAGAGCAGGTTCTAGCAAGGGGCCAGGTTGTGGAACGAGGGCAGGTTGTAGCAGGAGGGAAAGCAGTAGCGAGAGGGAGGGTTGCAGCAGGAAGGGAGGTTCTGGCAAGAGGGAAAGGTGTAGCAGCAGAGAAGGTTTTTGCGTGAGGGAAGGTTGTAGCAGGAAGAAATGTCATGGCGGTAGGTGAAGTTGTAGCAAAAGAGAAGGTTTTAGCGGGAGGGGATGTTGTAGCAACAAGAAGTGTTATGGTGGAAGGGGAAGTTGAAGCAGAAGGGAAGATTGTCATATGGGGGATATTTGCAGCAGGAGGGACGGTAGTAGAAGACAAGGTTCAAAATTACGGTTTTCGTAAAATACGGTCCGTTTTATACGGTCGTTATTTACGGTGATTTCTAAAAAAAACGGTCGTTTTTTTGTTAGAGAACTCTGTTCACCAAGAAAAAAAAGAGAAAAACAAGGCCAAAAACATTTTCAATCATGCCAACAAGCGCATACATGCAAGAAGGGGTCCGTCCCCTTCATGCTGCTGCATTTCGGGTTCAATTTGGTCCCACTAAGTGGCCGTTTTGTTAGTTAAACAGGAAACACCTCCTGGAACCGTTTTAAACCGTTTTTTACGACCGTATTTTACGATACCGTTTTTTACGGTAATTTTTCAAAAAAACGGTCGTTTTTTTAAACCTTGGTAGAAGAAGATAAGGTTTTAGCAGGATGAAAGGCTAATGCAGGAGGGGGGGGCGCTGCAGGTACTACATTTGCAGCAGGAGGGGCGGTTGTAGCAGGAGAAAAGCTTGTAGCAGGAGGCGAGGTTGTAGCAGGAGGGGAGACTGTAGCAGCCGTGGCAGTAAGATGAGTGTGAGCACGGCATTGGCACGTCGATTCGTGGTTATGTGTGCCGGAATATACGGTCCGCACCACCACTCGCATCTCCATTCTGCCACGCCCTGTATTGTCACTTCCTGGAGCGAAGCGATTTGTAGAGGCAGAAATTTTCGCCTTTGCGGCGGCGCCTTGAGGCTTGTAGCGGCGCGGCCGGGCCTCCCCAGCCACCCTGTCCTCGGTTTTTTTCGCCTGGCAGCCCGTGAGTTGCTTTAATGCACACACAAAGTAGATCCTGTGGCGGAGACGGGTGAGAGAGACGGACGGGATATCGGCGCGCATTAGATACATTCTTCAAGGTTGGAAAAGCCTGGCCTGGGATAACTGAATATGCTTTTCTGACTGACAAGCTCAGCAAAATCGGGTGGCTCACTATAGCGTTGCAAAGAGACCCATACAAACACCTGGTAAAGAAGGCTTAACAAAAAGCCCAAAGTGACTCACTATAAAGTAGGTAAAATAGCCCAAAGAGGGTTCCATAGACTGCTACTAGCTTCAGTCAAGGTAATTTTACCATTGCTATCAGCAGGAGTCACAGCACCCGTCGCAGCAATAGTAGTAGTACCTTTTCACTTGCTGGCCAACGATCCGTTTGTGCGATGCCTTTCGCCATCTAAACCCATCGCAGGCTTGGCAACCGTTGCAGAGTGCATGGGACTCCTGGTCCTGCTGTTGTTGGTGCTCGTGCTGCTGCTGCTGCCTCTGCTGCTCTTTGTGCTGCTGCAGAAGTTGGTGATCGTACTGCTCCTGGTGACACTGCGGATCATGACGATATGATGATGCATGTGATCCATCATGACCGTCCATCTCAGAAGGTCACTGGATTTCATAGGAGGTCAATGTATGTCAGAGGAGGTCACTGAATGTCACTGGGGTGAACTGAATGTCACAGGGTGACTCAGCGGATCATGTCAGATGGACATCGCTAAATGTGGGCGTTGCGGAGGAGTCAATCACCCATGGCCTATCAGGATGCGATTGCTGACAGAAGTCGCTGCGTGGAAATGGTCGAACCGCGACAGTTTGCAGTAGGAGCGCTGGTACTATTGACTGCAATATTTCTGGGTGGTGCTTGCGGAAATGGGCTTCCGGAGCTACGGGGATTCACTCACAATTACAAACGTCCTTACTGTAAACTAAAATACAACGATCCCAGCACGAGATGACTCTGACGAATGTCGACCAGCTTTGGAAGCGGAAAGACGACTATGGCGGAAGAAATTGACATGAGCATCCAAGCGTTTAGGGTTCTGGCATCGCGAGGGAGCGGGACTCGGAAATATATCATTCGAGGAATCCCCGAGTCACAGAAGATAGTAGGAGCACGTATCACGGCACTATAGGCGAGAGATGGAGATTACAAACTTGATAATGGAGATGAGAAAGGAGTAAACCTGAGATACTAACAAACCCGCCGGCGACACGTCCTGAGACGCGTGGACCTTGTAATAACGATGGCTTCAATCAATCTGGGGCCATCGATCTGCCCACGACCTCGTGCATGACTATATCGGATGACTCCTGCTTGCACTGCATCCTCGCTTGCAAATGCCACTCACAAAGCCTGGTAACATGCTGTTTCCTACCGCCCAACGCGGGCCATTCATTCGTGCGTACTAACCGATCATGTGCATAGGGATTCCGCGAAGGAGCGAACATGCTGCGCGGGGAGGGGGCGACTAATCAAAATCTTCCAGCGAGTCTGACCTAAATTTGGCGGGAGCATTCAGCCGCGCGCTGAGCTGCGCTGGAGAGCCACGCCGGGTATCTGCTGGCCGTAGTGCAAGCATGCGCATGTGCAGCGAAGGTGACACTGCGGAGCGGAGCCTTGGCCCGTGCGTGATCCGCGGGGGTGGGGCTTCGGCTTCTGAACAGCATTGCTGGGTGAGTAAGCAACGAGAACGTGCGGCATCATGCCAGGAAGGGCAGGCAGCTTGTCTGGTTGGTTGGCCAGATCCCGCCGCATTCTAACAGTATTAAGATTTTGGTCCTACTGTACTGTACCGTGAAACAATGAGGCGTGAAACAATGAGGCACCCGAAGGTGCGCAGGAAATGGGAGTGTTGGAGATTACGTGTGTTGGAAGCAAGGTGGTGGTGGGGCGTTTGTATGCCCCCAACCCACCGAATGTGTGACTTGTGCTCACCTTCGAGTGAGTTGCAGGATTGCATGGGGTTGAGGATTTACTTCGGAAGACCCATTCGATTCGGTGCCACATGGCAGCACCAGGAACATTCTAGACCCAAGGAGAATTCGGATCGGTGAAATTCGAGAGTCGAATTTCACCCTTTCGATGTTACTCGAACATTCGCGAGTGTAGCGGTTCGAGGTTACTTGTGCGATTCGATCTTGTTTGCATGCTATAAATCTGTTTTCTTTGTATTGCATGCCATCATAGTGAAACTCAGAGTTCTTTGTACAAGGTACATTCGAACACAAATCCCAGAGAGCTTCTTTACTTGCATTCAAGAGCACCACCTAGCACGTGAACGCCTATATCTCGGAGAATACTTAGGCGATCGACGTGTTTGACGGCTCGTTGGAAAGCTAAGACAGAGCTCTATCGTTTAGAACAACTCCCAGTTCCTGCAAATTAGAGGAGAGTCCTCTACAACAGTGGTATCAGAGCTGGTCAGAGGAGTCTACGCGCGCGACAAGGAGCACGCATGATGACTTCAAGCGAGGCCTCCCGCACTTCCTTGGATGGTGTCGTTGTAAATTCCGGCGAGCCCTGGGCAACCGCGACGATGTTCGACACGTCGGCGGTACCGATTTTCACGGGACAAAACTACTCCGCGTGGAAGTTTAAGTTCCAAGTGCTCATGATGGAGCGGGGACTTTGGGGTTTCTTCGATGGAACGGAGAAGAAGCCGGACGATGAGAGCGGCATCGCGGCATGGAAGAAGAAGGACCAAAAGGCGTTCGCTACGTTGATTTCGCGCATCGGCATCAATCTCGTGAGCTCGGTGCGCATGTGCATCAAGCTCGAAGCGTCGGCGCATGAAGCGTGGAAGCGGCTCGAGACCATCCACGTGAACAAGACTCTCCACGGCAAGATCCTAGCCCGGAATGCGTTCTACACGGTGAAGATGCGCGCGGGCGAATCGATGCACGAGTTTGCGACTCGTGTGGAGGAACTCGGGGAAACGTTCATGGACCTCGGTGGAACGGTCACGGAGGAGGATTGGATTCTCACCTTGCTTTGCGGCCTTCCGGAAGAGTGGTCGACGGTGATTACGACAATCGATAGCGTGCAAGACACTTGGACGAAGGAAATGGTGGTTGGTCGGCTTCTCCATGAAGAATCGCGTCGCCGACAATTCGCTAATGAGAGCGAGGGTGCCGCCATGTACTCCGGAGGGAGTTCCGGAAAGAAGTCCAAGTGGAGCAAGAACGCAACGAAGGAATCGTCCGGTGGGAGCGAGCATCGCGGCAAGTGTCACTATTGCCGCAAACCGGGACACTTTTGGCGTGAGTATCGAAAGCGGCCGAGCGATTGGACTCCATCGATGGCGCGGGACCAAGAGGGCAACGCGCACACGGCATCCGGCGAGGCCGATGATTCAAAGGAGTCGCTCGTGTTAGTGGCCGGCAACGGGAACAAAACTCCAAGCGACGCGTGGTTCCTCGATACCGGCGCAACGCAACACATGACGCACTCGGCGTCGCTCCTCAACAACATTGGCGCTCCGGGAGACGTCACGAGCATCGTGTTCGCAAACAACGAATCGCTACCGGTGGTCGGAGTTGGGAGTACGCGCCTCATCGTCGATAGCGGTCCGGTGGACGTGACGAACGTGTTTCACGTCCCGGGGGTGAAGGTGAACCTTCTATCCGTCCCGCAACTTGCGAAGAAGGGAGTGATCGCCACGATCGACGGTGCGAAAATGAACCTCTTTTGGAAGGGGGAGCAATTCGCGCAAGGTGTTCTCAACGGAGATATCTACCAACTCAAGACGTACCCGAGAGCGGCTTCATCCAACGTGGCGCAAGGCTCCAAGGCGACTCTCAAGGCGTGGCATAATCGGCTTGCGCACGCCAACTACGACTCGGTCAAGGAGTTGGCCAACAAAGGACTTGCGAAGGGAGTCGACGTGATCACCGGCGACGACGAGAAGGGCGTGTGCGCGGCGTGTGTCGAAGGAAAAATGGCTCGGAAGCCATTCGGTAGCCGAACGTCACCCCTCGCTAAGGACCCGCTTGCACTTGTTCACATGGACGTGTGTGGACCGATGCGGCATGCATCAAAGGGAGGAGCGCGGTTCCTCTTAGTGATGCTCGACGACGCGACGCGGA